ATTAACCCTTCCACTAGCAGAACCTCAGCACTAAGCCTGTCCTGTGTGACACTTTCTGGTTAAACTGTCCCTACCAGATGTTCAAGCTCCCCCCGGTCAGCAATTCGCTCTCTCCAACTCCACAAATCTGGCCCATGTTTGCTCCCTGCCCAAACCTTCCACTGTGCCATCTGGAACTCTGTCCCCAGCCTCTTCTGCGAACATTTGCATTCACTTTCTTATTCGGCCTCTAGGACAGACTTGCCTGGGAGCCCTTTCAGAGGCTTTTCTTCCCTAACACCAGAAGCAGCAGGGTTCCTGGTGGTGGTCTAAGTTTCCTCTAGATCACACTACTGCCACTTCTAAACCATTTTCCTCCTTCATAAGCCCTCAAAAGCTCAACCTTCCGGGGCGCCTGGGTGGCTCGGTCGTTAAGCGTCTGCCTTCAGCTCAGGTCATGATCCCAGGGTCCTGGGATCGAGCCCCGCATCGGGCTCCCTGCTCCGCGGGAAGGCTGCTTCTCCCTCTCCCACTCCCCCTGCTTGTGTTCCCTCTCTTGCTGTCAAATAAATAAAGTCTTTAAAAAAAAAAAAGCTCAACCTTCTTTGAAGCCCATGCTTTTAGACTAAATCCATTATCTAAGCAGCCTTTCTTGAAGATTTTTAACTCCAGAATCACCAGCACCAGCTTCTCATGCCCACTACTTCTACCATCACTTGCAGCAATTTTAACACACAGAAATCCTTTGAACAGCATGGTCTATTTTTGACATTTTCACTTCCAATGTTTTCTTCCTTCTCCCATCTTCCACTCACATGACCATCACCCAAAAACTTTGTCATTACCAGTCACTGCACATCTCAAGGTTAAGCATGTCTAGGTGCACCACACTTCACCTTCTTCTAGCCCCCTTCAATCAATACTTCTACTCCAAGTAAATGTGTAACGCACCAACTCCACTCAGCAGAGAATGTTACGCTCGTACTGGCTTTGGCTGATCAGGATCCATCTCTGGGTGGGGACAGGGGGAGAGGATGCTGGGAACATTACTGTTAACGGTAACTTTGCGCCCACTTTATTTATTTTTAAAGATTTTATTTATTTGACAGAGAGAGACATAGCGAGAGAGAGAACAGAAGCAGGGGGAGTGGGAGAGGGAGAAGCAGACTTCCTGCCGAGCAGGGAGCCCGATGCGGGGCTCGATCCCAGAACCCTGGGATCACGACCTGAGCTGAAGGCAGACACTTAACGACTGAGCCACCCAGGGGCCCCTGCGCCCACTTTTAATACCTTTGCACTTTTCTTCTGTTGAATTCAGCCGCCGAAGTCCTGGTTAAACCCAATGCTCTACTTCCTGGCCATTTTATTTCCCTGGTACATTTGTTTTCCCATTCTCCAAGACAACTATTTTACATTTCTTTTTTAAGTACTCTCTATACCCAACGTGGGACTCAAACTCCCAACCCAAGATCGAGTCGCACGCTCCACTAAGCCAGCCAGACGCCCCTACATTTTTCTTTCATCAAACTTCTAACATCTCTTCTCCCTTTTCTAAGATTCATCAAAAACAAAACAAAAAACCCCAAAAACAAAACCCAAAACTTTTCAATTTTTTATTGAACTTAATTTGAATAGATGAATTGACAAGCCTCAATATCCATTAACATGAAAACCTCCATTTTCTTTTAATACCTTTCAATAGTTTTGCTTCTGCCCAGATTTTGAAAATGGTGTGTATATGTATACACACACACACACACACACAAGATTTTGTTATTAAATGGGGCACCTGGGTGGCTCTGTTAAGCGACTGTCCTTGTCATGATCTCAGGGGTCCTGGGATTTAGCCCCAGGTCGGGCTCTGTGCTCAGTGGAGAGTCTGCTGGTCCCTCTCCCTCTCTCCCTGCTCATGCTCTCTCAAATAAGCTTTAAAAAAAACTTTTATTATAATCTCTACACCTTACCTGGGGCTCAAACTCACAACCCTGAGATCAAGAGTTCCATATTGTACCAAGTGAGCCTGCCATGAGCCCTCAAAATGGTATAGTTCTAAATCTATTTCCTTGATAGTACCACGGATAAAATTTTTTTACTAGCTATTATACACAAATAGGTTTTAGCCATTTACTAACACATCATCCATCCTTAAACTGACTGCAAGTTTGTTACCAGTATCATCCATGCTGCCTGCCAGTTTCCTTTCCAATCTTTACATATGTTAACCTCCATGCACTGCCTAGGCGTTTAGTACAATGTTTTTAACAGAAACCACGAAAAGCATCCTCACCTTGTTCATTTTGAATAAAACAGAACACACCACATGCCCGATACAGGATACCTAATTTCTTATCACTCTCCTGTGCTTACTCTGCTACAGCCACATATTCTTATAAAGGGATGAGATTTTTTTTTTAAATGTTTTATTTATTTATTCATGAGCGTGAAAGAGAGAGAGAGAGGCAGAGGCAGAGGCAGAGGGAGAAGCAGGCTTCCCGCGGGGCAGGGAGCCTGATGTGGGGCTCGATCCCACGACCCCGGGATCATGACCTGAGCCGAAGGCAGACGCTTAACCATCTGAGCCACCCAGGCGCCCCAGGGATGAGATATTTTAATTGTTAAGGCTGGAGCACCGGCTCAAAGGTAAGTGTCAAAAACTAAGGCAGTTAGCAGATGAGGAAACCGTTGCTGCTGTTTTGGCTCAACACTGCCCCCACTCCCCCCTGTAGAAAAGTGTTGACTTCTCTCCCAGGTCTCATGCTTGCACCATGTGACTGCAAGGCCAGGTTCTCACCCTGCACCCGGGCTGCAGAAAGAATGCTTCTCTGGGTTGCCTTAGAGACTCAGGCTATCTAATCTTCACACATAGTGAAGGCATTCATAAAGTGCTGGGCAACACAAGACACATGAAAAATGCATAGTTTTGTTTGCAACACTGGCATCAAGACTGTACCACAAGACAACTTTCTTCCTTGCTGTGGTTTTCAAAATCATTTTTACAGGTCTCCCCTGCTATCTGAAAGCACTGCATTCCTATGGAACCCTCTGTAAGCTGAATAGTGAGTGTAAAGTGAAGAAGCAATTACCATTAGCTTATATGGAAAAATTTAAGTGTTCTCAGAAATAAAAAATAGTCTCTTAGGCTTTTCTGATACTTTGGGGTGTATTTTGCTAATGGATGTACAAAATAGAGTGCTTGCTTCGACAGCACATATACTAAAATTGAAATAAGAGAAATTAGCATGGCTGCTGCCCAAGAATGACAAGCAAATTCATGAAATGTTATGTATTTTTTGCTTATCCAAAGAATAAAAAAATGCCAGAGGTACATGCACCCCAATGTTTATACCAGCGTATCAACAGCCAAATTATGGAAAAGAGCCCAAATGTGCACATTAATGAAGATGTGGTGCGTGTCTATATAGATATAAAATGGAATGTATATATAATGGAATATTACTTAGCCATCAAAAAGAATGAAACCTTGGCATTTGTAACATGGATGGAACTACAATGTATTATGCTAAGCAAAGTAAGTTAAAGACAAATATGATGTCTTGCATGTATGGAATTTAAGAATCAAAGTAGATGAACATAGGGAAAGAAAAATAAGATAAAAACAGAGCGGGAGGCAAACCACCATTAAGAGACTCTTAAGAGAACTGAGGGTTGCTGGAGGGGAGTGGGCTAAATGGGTGATGCGCATTGAGGAGGGGACTTGTTGGGATGAGCACTGGGTATTACACGATGAATCGCTGAATTCTACTCCTGAAACCAATACTACACTGTACTTGAATTTAAAAAGAGCATAGATGCTTACACACGGTTCCAAACTATGGCGCCTTGATGAGCGTTCCTTCTCAGGGAAGGAGCTCGGTGGCCCCACTCTTGCTGCTCAGTGCATTGCCCTCTGTATATAGTTCACTGCAGCAAAACAAACACCAAATGCTATTTTCATAAAAGTGAAAATTCTTGTCAGATTTCTTGGTTAGCAAAAGCAATGTCGTCTTTCCTAAAAAGTGGTATGGTATAATGCAAAATTTTGAAAAGGACTACCTGTAGTGGATATTTAACCAATATTGTTATTTCTATGATACATACATATCCTAGGTATGTAATTATAAAAAATATACTTTATATACCAGCGCAATGCAATCTTGGTTGTGAATTCTGAGCATGTTCTGGAAAGGGGCACCACCAACTGGATTTACACAGAACTGCAAGACTCTTGGAAGTATCCTCTAAATCCCCAGCAACTTTTCACCCTGGGCCCAAAAAACTGACCAGGATGATCCCAAATGAACACCTAGCAAGACATTGTATAAAAATAACTAGAACAGGGGCTCCTGGGTGGCTCAGTCGTTAAGCATCTGCCTTCAGCTCAGGTCATGATCCCAGGGTCCTGGGATCCAGCCCATCACGCTCCCTGCTCGGCTGAAGCCTGCTTCTCCCTCTCCCACTCCCACTCCCATCCCACTCCCCCTGCTTGTGTTCCCTCTCTCGCTGTCTCTGTCAAAAAATAAAATCTTTAAAAAAAGAATAACCAGAACAGGTTTAGGTTAGAAGGGAGTTGAGACCACAAAATTATTTTCACCAACCTCCGTATTCTTTAGCAAAAGTCTTCCTATATGTATTACATCTGTTATCAGAGTGAGCCTGTTTACTGAGCACAACCAGGCTCTGTGGCAGGCTGAAGTAACTCTTCCACAAGGACAGAAGTAAGTGGCTTGTAGGGATTAGAATCCAATTAGTGCATGCTAGAGCATGCCCTCTCCCCTTTACCACTGTCCCTCAGTAAAAACAACTTATGAAAAGGAAAATGGCCTTTTCTATCATAGTAAATGTTTTCTGATGTTTAGTAGGAGCCCACAGGTATGTCACTTAAAGAATTATACATTTTAAGGAAATTTCCAAGTAATCCAGTGAGTACCATCTATCTGCTGCTAGGTTTAAGCTAAGGGTCCTATGGCTACCTAAGGACTTACAAACTAAAATTAAGACAAGACAGAAATATACACAAAGACAATTATTTAAGACCTTTATTAACGGGTGCTTGCCGTTTGTTGATTTTTTTGAAAAAATCAAGTTGTAAACTTTTTATTACAAATTAAAAATGAGGTTCTTAAAAATCTCAACTTGACCAGATATGAAACAATTTAAAAACCTTTAAAGGTGTATTGAGAAAAACCAGGTTTTTTTTTTTTTTTTTTTAAAAAACACGTTTGTCATTACCAAAAAGAGACGTCTTTAGGTAAAAATAATAAAAACCCCATGCTGCATAGATAATGCAGATAGTTCTATTTATCTGGTCAGTGGGCAAAAAGCAAGCACTTAAGGTCTTCAGCTCCAATCTTTTGTTCATTTCTTATTGCTGGAATTTCATCTTCATTTCTTCGTGTTGGATGACTAAACTGAAAAAAAAAAAAAAATTAAAAATTAAAATAAATTTAAGATTATCTTGCACAATTGACTACGATGTTCTTGGTATACACCAAATTGCTCCAGATCACATTAGCTAAGTAGGGAAGGTATTAACAAATCTATTTCTTTATCACAAGACACTGATCCAACAGGGGTGGACAATGCTCTGTGACAAGAATGGCTACTGTCAGGTTCTGGATGACCTTTTGCCACCCAGAAAATAATAGAGGGGAAAAAACCAAAAGTATCACTGGCTGGAAATGACAATTCCAAAGCCAAACAGAGACAATTACATGCTTCTCAGTATCAAGTAAAAAACTGAATGCAAAGGAATCCCTTTAGAACTGATATAATGTCAACTGCCACTTTCCCCCAAAGAGACTACACTGCTCATCACCACGCAGGTTATTAATTCTGGTAAGCTATCCCACCTCTTTTTGAAAATAAACACAATGTCGTCATTCTTCTTAGGGTAAAGTTATAGCAAGACTCGTCCGCTTACTGGTGAAATCACAGACTTCATTCAGAACAGCTGACAAAAGGCTCTAATACTTGCCATGACCCAAACTGGATATACCTAGGTAATTTGAAGAGGACTGTGGCTGAAAGACAACCTAAATAACAATGGCTCATCTTACCTGATAAACTGAGATTTTTCACCACCCATGACTGGTCAGAGGCCAGAAGGCCACCTACACCTACTTACCCGGATGATGGTAGAGATGGTAAGCCGGCATTTACTCAGCCCCGCCCTGCTCAGCCTCGGGAGCGGACGAATTTTCAGCTGGTGGATCGGCTGCTTTTGTCTCTTTGCCATCTTGTGGTTTAGGGTTTTCTGGGCGTCTGCGTCGGTAATTGAAGTTGCGGCGGTACCGACGTTGAGGTGGCTGCTGACCTTGGGTCTCATCTCCTTGATTTTCCTTATCTTCCTCATTGCCATCCTCTCTAGGCTGTCTTTGGCGAGGAGGACCCCTGGAATGAACATTGTGCAAAGTTGAAACGACAAATAAAACCTTCATTCTTTAATCCACCCACCAACGCTCTCACTTGGGTCAGTCAACTAAACACCGTATCTGGCCTGTTTTCCAAAACTTGGTTCCTATTTCACAAACCGAATGGGATAACTGAGCAAGGATTTCGAAGTGTCAATTAGAAGATGGGCATTTAAAACTGGTTTTATGAACTAGCCAACTTTTACTCACAGTAGAACGATTACAAAATTAATCCTGAAACTACTAGAAGTCGCACACCACCAGACACTTTGATCAGTCATTTTAAATGGGCTCCATGGTAACCAGGTTTGGGAACAAGCGCTACTAATCCTTTACCGATAGATGAGCACTTGCTAAAAAGGCATGATATCAAAAAACAAAAGATGCTCTCTCTATATAAATCAAAAGACACAGCAACCAATGGTCAGTAAGGAAATGCAATTCAAAACAGAGACCACTTCATACCCACACCAAGATGGCCATAATCAAAAGATCAGAAAACCACCAGTGTTGGTGAGGATGTGGAGACACTGGAACCCTCATACGTTGCTGGTGGGAAGGTAACAGTGCAGCAGCTTTGGAAAATAGCCCGGCAATTCCTCAAAATATTAAAGAGTCAATGTGACCCAGCAGTTCCACTCAGAGGTCTATACACCCAAGAAAGTATCCATTTCCTGATTACCAGTAACAAAGATGTACAATCCAAGTGCCCATTAGCTTACTAAGGAAGAAACAAAACAGGACATCCATGCAGTGGACCCTGATTTATCCAGAAAAGGCAGACTGGTAGTAGCCAGGGGCTGGGGTACAGGGAAATGAGTAACTGTTAATGGACACAAGGGTATTTTTCTGGCTCAGGGCGGGTGAAGGAGTGAAAACATCTGATAGTGGTAATGGTTGCATAACTGCGTGAATACTAAAATCCAGAGTTGTACACTTAGAAAAAACTTCAAATTTACATTCTAGCAATATTATGTTTCAATAGCCTGAAATTAAAGATTTCAGGACCAAAGAAAGTGTCAAGATTTCTATCACCAAGGGAAGATTAGAATTGCTTTTGCTGGTGACTATGTCAGAAAGCAGAGGTTTTCTTGGCCTTTCTTCGATCACAGTACCCCAGAAACATCAAGATTAGTAGCATGCCTTTTATACCTATTGGTCATCATGGGCTCCAACTAATTCCCTTCCTCTTTTCCGGAAACCCTGTTCCTAGTTTTGGGACCTCACAGCCAGTCTTTGGCAAAACTCTTCTGGCTCTTCCCCGAAGCCTTCAAGTGTGGCTGCTTCACCCCACTGTCGCTTCAAAGTCAATTTCCCCTTCTTTTTAAAACTCTGAGCTTTTCAAATCTTACATACCATTTTACTATCCTTTTCCTGTTGTAGTTATCCTGACAACCCCAAATAACCTGAGCATTTAAAATTCTTTACCTCCTATCCAGTTGTTTTCTATCTGGGTTCTCCCCATTTTAAGCATTGCACTCTCCAAACACTCCTTTTCCTTTTCTCCTAGTTTAATTCCTTCCTGTTCTCCCATTCTTTATTTCCATTAGGGCTTATAATCCAGTGATCCTATGACTCTATCTCCCATTCTCCGTTAATATTTTTCTCCCTTCTTACCCAAGTATAAAGCCCACCATTAATTATGACCAATCCCAACCCCAGGATCTTCATTTGGATCAACAAATGCTGGACAAATTCAACCCTGCTCAATCTGAGCCTGCTGCTCAAAAATGGCTGGAAAATACAATCGTGCTGGGTGGACCCTGTAACCATTATTCTATTACTTCATTTCCCCTTTCTCTTCTAGAGATCATTTCACATCTTTGTCTCAAATTCCCCACACCTCTTCTCTTACCTCTCCCTCTCCTTCTGACTCCACTAGCACACCAATGCCCACATACTTTGGCTTCTTACATACAACACACCCAGAGTTCTTAGCAAATGGTCCACCACTCACTTATGGACAAAATCCTATCCTATCTGAAGACAATTCTAAGCAGTCACTTTCTACCAACTGTCTTCTGCTGCCATTTTTCAGCCTATGAATATGCCCAATTTCTCGAACAAAAATACTTTCGTAACACCACTCCTCCCTTTTACTTTGTATTTAGCACTGTCAACTTGCCTATCCATTCAAATGAGACTATTCCGTCTAACTTAAAAGGCAAACAACAAAACTGAAGCACTCAACAACAAAAATTCCCATGCTTTTAAAGACATCAATGAAGCTAACCCAAAAATGTAAGCAGCTTTATAGTGTAACACAAAGGTAAACCAAATTTTCTGCTGTTGGAACCAATGGATGTAATGTATAGACTGCCATGAGAGCCTATTTTAGACCAATTTTAAAAACACTGATCACTGTAAAAAATGATGTTGTTATATTATTTGCAATGTTTCAACAAGGTATCTCTGTCTAGGTTTAAAACTAGTTTGAACAATAGTTCAGTTCAGGATCAACAAAGCTCATCTGTCAGCATCAAAAATAATCTTCCCCACTCAACAGGGAAAACCCCACTGGATCTCCAACATCCAGCACATGGCTAACACAATCTCTTGGTGGAAATTTTAATGAACCAGAGCTGGAACTCCAGGCTATTTTCATGAAATAAAAACTCAGGACACGACACACATCACTGGAAACGAGAAAAGAAATTATAGACACTGGCTACTGCAAAACTCTCAATGCATATATACCGATGTATACTGCAATCTCAGCTGGGTTCCTAGTTCCTAAAGCTTCACTGCTCCACCTTCCTTGAAGTATTTTGAACATGGGTGTGTGTGTTCAGAAACCTTGCTTACAAAATCACAATGTATTTTAAAGACTTCTATATTGTATTTTGGATACTTTTACAGTAAGGAATTTCTTAAAACTTATTTGGGTCTGTACATTTAAAGCTGTTACATAAGTGATCATCAGTTAAGAGTTATTACTGTATTGCCTTAAGTATACAACCCGTTAGTTTTAGGGATTACATCTGGAGACTCAATGCTTTAATAAAAAGACCCTTAAAAGAAATAGCTGTTAACACCACTATATCCATCCACTGTGGGACAGACTGGGTATCTATTGCCTCAAATACACCAAACGTTTATATACTAAACATGTCTGGCTCATGGAACTCTTCTCTAGTTACTACTTTATTGGAGTGATTTCATTCTGCAACTTAAGGGTGACAAAAAAAACCTAAACTGAGAAGTGATTAATGGAAAATTATGCCATCTCAGAGGTGACACTATAGATTCTTCATTTATGATGAAGGTGCAATTCACATACTCCTAATGCTTTAAAGGCAATGCTTACCTTTACCTTTCTCCCTCCCAATGAAGCAGGTCTTAAACATATAACACAGGTTGAACTACTCTCTTACCTGTTCAAGACAAAAACTGAAATTCCATAACCTCATTGGGGGGGGCGGGGGAGAACCCACAACTGTATATAAAGTAGACCTCATCTATACAAGCTGTTTTTAACCAGTGCCAGCAAAGAACACACTCTCAAAGATAACTGACTTCGGGTTCACCTCTTTGGCATCTGACAAAAGAAAATGTTAAGTGTTAACAAATAAAATGATTCCAAAAGGCTACAGGAGAAGCATGATGCTGCTGAGTCCTAACATATGCTTGAGAAATTTAATACAAACCATACCTGCGGAATCGTGGTCTATAACCCCGATACATATTCTGTCTCACTGGTCTACCTTGTTCTCCTGCACCCTGGTTGTCAGCACCCTGAAAAGACAATCAAGCTGACTCAATCAGTAACAGTAAAAACCCAATCAGACAAATCCAAAGTCTGCATACAGGAGTTAAAAATAAATCAATCATCTAGTAACTATAATTATACTATAATCTTTCAGAAATCAAAAAATGCTTCCCATTAGATTAATTGCTCCAATATAGGGGAAGACACCCAGAAAATGCTTAAAATGCAGTCCTATTTAAAGTTATTGCATGCTGTTCATTCTTTTACTTTTTGGTGAAAACTTACTTCCATCACTTCTCCCTGCACAGGAGGGTTGGAATACTGTGGTCGACGCCCATAGGGTCTCCGCATGTAGTAAGGTGGGAACCGTCGCCTGCGGTAGGGCCGGCGCTGTTGGGCCTGGCCTTCGGGAGCACTTTCCGATCCCTCGTTCTTTTCCCCACTCTCACTATTCTGGTAATTCTGCTGGTAATTGCGTGGAGGACCCCTGCGACGTGGATAGCGTCTATAATGGTTACGGTCTGCTGCATATTTACTGCCTTGCACTGGAACTCCACCAGGGCCTGTCACATTTGCTGCCTCCGCACCCTACAAAAGCCATCATATATTGACAGTGACAACAGAATTAAGTACACTTAATAAAATTTACACAAAACAAATAAAAAAGGGTCTATGTGGCCAGGGGTGCATAGAAATGATTAAATATCAGTTCCTCACTGTTCTGAAGAGATTGCCCTCTAACTGCAGCCAGCACATTAGGCTTGATGCACCTGTGTTCATGTGGTCACCTGACCCATCCATCCACATTAGAGCCACCATCCTAACGGATGAGATCTCCAAAATATTTCCATACTGAAGTCAAACCTTTACACAAAAAGCATCCTCACCTTTTCTCCTTCAACAACATCAAACTCCACAGTCTCTCCATCTCCTACACTGCGAAGGTACTTCCTGGGGTTATTCTTCTTTATGGCAGTCTAGTAATATCACATTCCAAAAATAGATTAACAGGGGAGAATAATGTGCTTTTTCATTCAAAATGTACCAGAGTCAATATTATTTTAGCTTGGATATACACTTAAAATTAGCTTTAAATAAGACCAAACCGTCAATAAATTTAGGAAAACAGGGACCAATGTACCCCCAACCTCAACCAAAATGCTCTGATCTTACAAGGCCCCAGCATTTTCCAAACTAAAGCAAGTAATTTAACACTCAAGACACAACAATATGTATTTTTTAAAAATGCCTTTTGCAAAAGCATCATATGTAGCTTTAAACAAAATGAGGATATCCATCTATCCCCCAAAGACTGCACTTAATAGTAGAAGCTAGCCCCACACAGGGCCAGTTTAGATGACAGGCGAGTTTAGTTTTGCATGCTTCAAAGTTGACCAAACCAACTTTGTCCCTGTGTTAACCATATCAAACTCAATTACAAATGTCAACCAAAATCCCTTCCAACTGGTCTGTGATACTTCAATGGAAATGCAATTCACATGTATTGACTATGCGCCACTCTTTACATTATCTGACCACACGGGATAGTCGGTTATTACCTCCTCAGAATACAATAAATCTCACATTGTTACTTGTTCTCTAGACTGCTACAACTAAGTAAAAGGGGGAAGAATAACATCTCACGTTTGGGTGTAATATAATAAAGTTCCTTCATGCATTACCTGATCAATCTCTTTATGACAATGATGTGAGGTATTATTACTCCTTTTTTACAAATAAACAGGCTTTTAAAAGTTACGTGACTTGCCCAAGGTCACACAGCTTAAGTGGCACAGTATGGACTTTTCTAAATCCAGGTCTTGGGACTCCAAATCCCGTGTTCATTCTACTACATCACAGCAGTATCCATTACAGGATCACTCATGCATTTCCATTCCATAGGAGGCAGGACAACCAACAAAGCTGAAGCCAATTAAGCTAAGTTGCCCAGAACTGCAGTCTCCTTGATACACTAAGACCTGAGCATCCAAAGTCCCAAGAAACAACTAAATGTTGAACCACTTCCAAAATAAAGAGGAAAGCATATTGGTGACACCTGTGGGTCAGTACCAAGTGGGTGACATGCATTCAGCCAAATAATTGATCTCATCTGTCATCTAAACTGTCACAAAGTTTTCATACCTTCCATATATAGCCAACTCTCAATTACCTGCAGTCATAGGGGATAGCAGAAGTATGGATAATTACAATCTAAGAACATATTTTGGTCAGCATCTTCAGAACACCCCAATCTCCCCAAACCCTTTTGTGCTGACAAATAACAAGACTGACCTGCCTTGCTGTCTCTTGTTCCTAAATGTGCATATTCCTTTGAACATGCAGAAGTAAGGAACACAAAGGAGTTGGCATTCAATTTTATAAAACATTTGTTTTAAAAATAACATTAAGCAGTCCTATATTTATGTTTAGGATTAATTTTTTAAAGTTCATTTTTAAAAAAAAGTAATCTATACACCCAAAATGGGGCTAAACCCATGACCCCGAGATCAAGAGCCTCAAACTCTTCCTACTGAGCCAGCCAGGTGCCCGTATGTTTAGAATTTAAATGTTTCCATACTTATATATTTGACCCTGGGATTTTCTGATAAGGTTTTGGACATACCAGAAATTGACCTGGCTCCCTTGATTGCCACTGAATGCTGTATAGGACATCTCAGAAAGCGACAAAGCACCAACCTCAGATAGCCCTTCCTAAGAAAAGTATGCTGCCATCCAAGCTCACACCTGCCTGAATAACAGTGTTGAGTGTGAAAACTCTCTTTTGATGTCTGGATAAAAAGTACAAAAAAGTGGTTAAAAAGTTCTTAGAGTGATTTTCAATGTAAGATAATATTATAACGGTCTTGGTGAAAAAACTGCAGTGCACACAACTATACATACACAACTGTGTTCTTCCTATCCAATGCACACCTGTGAGGATAATGAAGTCCAACGGAGCCCATGAGATAAACTTAAGTTTGAGATATTAGTGTTTACACTGTAGTGGCTTGCTTTAATAAAAGTAATCCTTAATGCTCACTTCCCAAAATATTTTTCTTAAATGCACTTGTGAAATTTCAGCATATGGCACCTAATCCCATGTTAGTTTTTTCCTCTTAAAACACTGAAGCCTATCTAATTATTTAATGAGTAAATTACCAACTTTTGTCACACTGCCTTTTCACTCAATCCTAAACTAGTGAGGATTTATAAATTTTCCAAACCAACCAAAATTCTCAAAAATAATTCCCAAAGTGCTTTAGAATAAACAGAAGGACCTAGGCTAACTCTGCTGGTGTTCTAGCATTCACTTCAAATTTATGTTTTGCAGCTGAGTCCTATTTTCCCCGATTATTGTGATTTGTCCTTACCAGAGAGGTAAAAACCTGACAGTGTTTGAAAACACCCCACCAAAGGTTCTGTGTGTTTATAGCAAAATTAGTTCAAGTTTAGGTTAATGGAGATTTTTTTCTTCCTCTGAAATTGGGTTTTAAAATTTGGTATGAGTTGAGCACATTTCCACATTTAAAAAAGCCAGAGCTATTAACAAAATACCCATTTGAAACATCTATCTTAATTAAGTAAACCGCCAATATGATGTTTCAATGTATACATTTAAGCATGCTCCCACTGTTCCTGTGGGAGCTAAATTGTTGGTTGGTTGGATATAATAACCTTTTTGCAAGGAACAATAGTTGAGATAACATCCACCCCTTTCTTTCTTCTCACGTCCCTTAAAACTAGGATTGTAAACATTCACACGAGCACTCACCTGGTGTACAAATACATCTTCCTTGGTGTCATTCCTGCAAGACAGAACCAAGTTGAACAAGTCAGTAAATGCAATACACTTCATGTTGCCAAAGGTTAAGAGTAAGTGTGGTTCTTTGTGCACTTCCCTATTTTTCCTATTGTTAAAGACTTTCTGACTGCCAACCAGTCACCAGGAAATATAAAGCAGAAACATAGTTTTTGTTTCATTTTTCTTGAGGAAGCAGTTGCCAACAGTTGTAAACCTCACTACCTGCAGAAGGATTAAAAAAAAGTCTGTGACCTACTAAGCCATTAAGGCTATTAAGAAGGTTTAAGTGACTAGCAACTATCACTCCTTATGATCCTACCAAACATTACCAACTTCCCAGCATACACCACTCTTACTCCATCCATGTGGCAACAAGCATTGTACTGGAGAACTAAGGAGGTGAAAATGAATGAGACAGTTTCCTACTAGCACACACACCCCTTCACTTCGTATCAGAAACCATTTTACAGCAATCATTAAATATCTAGTCAAACTGTGCTAAAGAAATATGGTTGAAAATATCTGCTTTACAACTTCAAAAGTAGTGTTAAAGGAGGAAACATCTGCCCTTAAGTCTTAAAGAAGTTTACTGGAAAATGAGAAAAATGTTCCAGAGGTAGACAGAAAGGAGGTCATAAACCTGGGTAAAGCAGCAACTAGCAAATTCAATGCAAGCAGAGTCCAAACTGGCTGAAGCATGAGGAATATGGTTGTGGGTGGGGGAGGATAAAGAATAGGGGCTAAACGATCACCACGTAGGCAGAGGAGGTCCCAAAGGCTTTTGAGTAGACAAATATGCCATAACATCAGATGTTAAAATTTGGTGGCTATTAAGAGAAATTTCAAATACAAGAGGAGCCCAGTTAGTTCTAGTAACTACTCTAGAAGCCCAGACCGGGACTGATGGAAGCCTAAATTAAGGGGCTATGTGTGAGGGAATTTATTTGAGGGTTTGCTTTCTTGAGGTAAAAATGGAATGGGAGAATGAACTTATTTTAGCTAGGACATCACAGTTAAGATGATGATACTATATAAGCAAAATCCACAGGAGGAGAAACCATTTTCCAGACCTTTATCAACCTCCTCCGCCCTTTTCATTTTGTCCAGTAGGTCAGAGAGAGAATGGGCTCAATAAGAGTTCTAATGTTTAATGACAGAAGGAACAAAGGTTGCAATGAACTAGACGGACTGGCTTACTGACTGTTGGCTCCTTGCTGAACCGTGGAGCAACAAAAATGCGCCAAAGAATCCACATAGCTTGGATTATCGTAACATGAGGACATTTCATTTATGGGAACAGAATTTTAAATCTTCAAAAGAAAAATCTACAAACACCCAGAATACTGCAAAAGCTACTCAAGGCAACTGATTAAAAACTGACCTTTAAAAGCTAGTTAAATACTAGGAAACCTAGGGAATTAATGGTTGCCACAATGCCTATCTGTCAAATAGGTCCACAGGCATCCCACAAAGTTCATAGCCATCACTATTAAATTCTCATCTCCAACACTGGGACTGAATTCCAAACCCTGGGGCCCTAAGGAGAAGTGCAACAAAAATCTGGTAGAGCAGGAAAGGTGGGTAAAGTCTAGAAAAGGAACTCTCAACAGGGGCAGTGCTGACCACCATAGGCCGTTTAAAGTTGTTCCGAAGATGGGCACTATTTGCCATAATTGGGGTGAAGGATGTCAGGCTTGCTGGAGGACTAGGTAAAGAATTATTTGGTATCCTAGTGGACTTTCATGTAAGTACATTTATTATAACTTGAGTTTTGAATCTGGTATTTTACAGTTTTAATATGCATTAAATTTACAAAAAATGCAACTTCCATGGAGAGAAATTTTCATTTATTGATAATGCCACTTGTGTATCTGGGTAGCCAACACATCATTTATCAGTTGGTCTCTGTGGTAGCACTATCCATGTCTTCTAATATAGTTGCAAATAGCTATGTACATATACACTATACACTACAATAAAAAGAAATACAAGTAGTTATCTATAAATTTTACTTCAAGGTTGTAAAAGGAATTAGAAAATTTACCAACTATTTATCTAGTAGTTAGAACAATCTTTTTTCTCTAAAAGATTTTTATTTGAGATAGTGAGAGAACACAAGCAGGGGGAAAGGGAGAAGCAGGCTCCCTGCTCAGCAGGGAGCCCAATGTGGGGCTCCATCCCAGGACCCTGGGATCACAACCCGAGCCCAAGGCAGATGCCCAACCGACTGAGCCACCCAGGCATCCCTAGAACAATCTTCTTTAAAACAGTACAAGGTAGGCAATAATACACACAATGCATCCCCTGAAAGACAGCTTAAGATGTTCCGTGGGTACAAAGATATGTAGAAACCAATAAAAGGTTCATTAATGATGTGCCAGACAACAGCACTCACTTACAATGTTGACAACCAGCCAACCTATTAGGGAATTAACATGGCCAAAGCGTATCTCGATTTTAGGAAAAAACTTGACGACCGCTCAAAGAAATGCAGTTTTAGCCTAGATAGAACACTATAATCTGGATGCATTAAATCAATCTAGTTACAATTTAAGTGACTATGCAGAAATTCAAGGTACTGCTAAAAGGAAACCCAATTTTTAGTCCTCATTCCACTATTAACAGCTGTGCAACCTTGGAAAGCTGTCTCATCTGCAAAATTGGATACAACAGCTTACCTTACTGAGGATTTAAGTTCCAGATATTGTTCCAAATGCTTTAACTATACATACCATTCAATCCTCACAATCCTGAGGTAGACACTATCATAACCCTTTCCATACATTAGGAAAATGAAGTACGTGTTCATCTGCTCAGTGGTATAATTTGACTCCACAGGCCCTGATCTTTACTATTTTAAAAACTCAAAAAGGACCAGTTCAGAATCTTCACATTTTCAGCTCTTGAGGCAACTTACAGCAATATGGTCTCTCCATTTTTTGGGAGGACAACAACAAAGGGCAAGCACCCCTACATCCTCACTTTCATTACACAGCTATTTGATTTAATGAGACCAAGGTTCTCCTATGTATCTCCTCCCCCAGTGTAAAAACCATTTTGGGCTCACAAGCCATATAAAAACAGATGCTGAGTGGTAATTTCTTGACCCCTATCTATAGTAATACTGGAGAAAAATGCATGCTCATGGCTACGAGAGATCTTACTGAAGAGGGAAAAGCAGCAATTAAAACAGGCTGACCAGGGTACCTGGGTGGCTCAGTCATTTAAGTGTCTGCCTTTAGCTCAGGTCATTATCCCAGGGTCCTGGAACTGATCCCATGTGGGGCTTTCTGCCCATGGGGAGTCTGCTTCTCCTTCTCCCTCTGCCCCTCCCCCCTGCTCGTGCTCTCTCAAATAAGTGAAATCTTTAAAAAATAAAATAAGCTGATCAAAATGGATCATCAAGAAGTATATTTTAAACCTTTAGCTATTGGGATGCACCTGGGTGGCTCAGTCAGTTAAGCGTTTGCCTTCAGCTTAGGTCATGATCTCAGGGTCCTGGGATAGAGCCCTGCGTCAAGCTCTCTCCTCAGCGGGGAGTCCACTTTCTCCCTCTCCCTCTGTACCCTCTCTTGCTCTCTCTCAATCAAATAAAATCTTAAAAAAAACTAACAAAACAAAATAAAAAACTAGCTATTACTAATGTAGTAAGGAAGAACAGAGACATTCCTAAGTACTGCACCTTACCTTTTGTGGTATATGCTGACAACCAACAGACATACTTCTAACTTTACCGAGGGTGGAAAATCACGGACAGGGCAGACTGGTATAGTAATAAGTAAGCTAGCTAGCTAGGGGTGCCTGGGTGGCACAGTCGGTTATGTGTGCAACTCTTGGTTTCAGCTCAGGTTGTGATCTCAGGGTCATGAGATCCAGTCCTGTGTTGGGCTCTGTGCTGAGTATGGAGTCTGCTTAAGATTCTCTTTCCCTTCTCCCTGTCCCCCTCCCCCCACCCCAAAAATAAACAAATAAATCTTTAAAAAGCAGCTAGCTAGCTAGGAACTGTGCTAAGCACCACTAATAAAAATAAGACATGGCCTATCCTCAAATATTTCAACCTAGAAGGCCACCACCTTTGATCCAATGCAGCAGCTGAATTACCAAAACCTGTTTTCCACATATTGTAGTATGTTAAGTCCCACTGATCAGAAAGGAGGAAGAGGAAAGAGCAGGCAGTACACATAATACAGAGCAGTGGTTCAGCGTTCCTTACTAGAAGCACTGGAGCCAAGGTTAGAATCCTGGCTATCCCCATTACGACGCACCCCATCTGGGGCAAGTCGCCTTATTTGGACAATGGCGATGAAACAATACTTACCTAAAGACCACACTATAATCAAACCCAAGCCCATCCATACTGCTGCCACTTGAGACATTATTTTTACTGGCAGCCCAGTGCCTAGTACTGCTGTCCAAAAGATATAAAATCCAAGTTCGATACAGGTTCGTCCTGTTACCTTAAAGTTCACTTGATACCACTTCACTTGCATGAGAGGTTTCACAGGAATGCACTACTTTTGGATAGCAGGGGGAAATCTATATCTAGGTTTATTTTCTAATGGCCACAATAAAAAAAAGTAAAAGCAGGTAGAATTAGTTTTACCATTTAAACATGAACAATATAAAAAACTGAAGTATTTTCTTTTTTCATACTAAGCCCTCATAATCTGCTCTATATTTTACACTTCTGAAAAGTAGGTTCACAAATGCAAGCTGTTCATAAGAAAGTGGTTCAAAACAAACACTAAATTGGGTATCAGTTTTAAAATTCAAGTTAAAAAAAAAATGCTGTTTCTCAGATGTAAGAACCATGTTTCCATACAAGTCTAATGGTTACTGTACTTACTGGACAGCACAGGCCTACAATATTCTAACAGTGTCACTCCATACAGCACAGTCCTCCTGTTTTCCTGCACTCGGGTGTATGCTTTCTGCTGTATTCTTCTACCCCACTTCTTAAGTGCATTATTTATACTGAAAAATTTTCATAAAAACTCCACCTCT